GTTTCGCCTTCCTGTTTCTCTTCTGCCTTCAGGTGCCGGTGTACCTTGGACAAGATCTCCACACGGGAATCACTGGCACGGATCTTGATCTCCAGGTAGGCGCTCACTAGTACAAGCTCTGGTTTACTCAGATATTTTAATCTGGCAAGACAATCTTCTCTGTTCAGAAAAGCCTGAACCTCGTCCAGATCATCGATGGTAGCTTTGTCTGCCATTGTCACAGATGGAACACTTAGCACTTAACACTGCTTACAAGTTAGCACTTAACGCACCGAGCACTGTTCTACGCCAATATTGCACTTTATCGCACCAAACACTGCACTTGCCAATATTGCACGTAATCACTTCGGGCACCGCACTACCCAATATTGCACCGAATCCAAGCGAACGCTTCGCTCTACAATATTGCACTGAATGACTGAGCACCGCACTAGTCAATATTGCACTTAATCGCTTAATCACAGCGAGCACCGCACTGCACAATATCGCACTTAGTCACTCCGAGCACCGCACAGGACGTATAACGTCACAATCGTCACACACAGGGGGAATTATTTACAGGGATTACGCCACTTCACCACCCCTGTCAAACATACTTAACGAGGGGACGGATCCCGCTGGGGATGCCAATTATGTTACGGCCCTCTCGGGACGCAACGGGGTTCTCACTCTGATGTTGTTAGAGGAAGATATATGTATCCGTTCCCAAGCCAGTAGTGGCTATCAAGGGAGGAGATCCGTGACGCAAGTAACTTAAAAGGGAGTAGGGAAAGAAAGTTAAGAACTTAATATTATAATTTTCACCATCACCGATTAAATATAAAAAATCAAAAAGTGCACAGGGGGAGGGGTATTAACACTATACAAGGGGATTATGTACAATATAGTCTTCTGCTGAAGACTCTGGATCAAGAAGCTAGGTGCTGAGTCCGCGGTGCTTTCTTCGTGGCCTCACGACGTGTCCTCTGAGAATGCCGAGCCTACCCGGGCCACAGGTCAGCCAAAACACAGGTCCACTGGGGGCACCGCCGTGGAGGCCATCAACCACACGTCCAGCTGGTCTGCTGGCAGGTTCTGAGCCAACAAGGCTGGTACGGCCACTCCACGAGCGATAAAAGGGGAACGCCCTAGACAGGAGCCTCGTGTGACAACACAAGTCACTCTCCTGTCTTCAGTACCCCAGTGGATGATCGTCTCCAGCAGTCGGTCCCGGGTAAATCCTTTTACTGCCACTCCACTGGCAGGCTAACACACCACAGTGTTCTTCCGGGGGGACGACGTCACAACAGCTGCAGCAAGGTTCAAGGTATGGAGACTGGCTGCCTCGGGTAGACTGACTCAACTCCCATCACAGCAGTCCCAGGTCGACTCTGTAAGCAGACACGTCATCAATAACTGGGACACTAAAACACCTCACTTACAGGCTCAGACACAAACGCCCGACATATCCACTCCATAGATGGCGTTGTAGTCTGAGCACCACCTCACCAGAGGTCAGCGGCGGCGGTGTTGAGTGCTGAACGGGGCTGGAAACTGGCCCTCGTAGCTAGTACACGTCGTCGGTTTGGAGGGGGTTTCGGGAGCTGACCCACAGATGGCGCGGCTGTCACTGCTTCGAGATTGGACGCTGGATCAGGGTCCGTAACAAATGTATCTTTCATTTATCTTTATCAATTCTGATTGAAATTACCTACTTAAAATTATCTGCTAGATTAAGGACCTGCCCGAAACGCTGCGCGTACTAGTGGCTTTACAAGAATGTAAATACTGTACTATCCAATGTATCCTCACAAACCCAATGTACCTTCTTGTATATATATAAATAAAATAAATAAAATAAAACATCTGCCAGGCTGATTGGTGAAAGGAGAAGAGAGTTTGGATTGCTGCCTGAGAGATATGTGTTAATATGTGTCTGAGTCTGTGGGATTTTACTGGCAAGATTAGCACCAACCGATGAAAAGAAGCTATTAAATTCATTTGCTATTTCTAAACCAGTTGACGGTATATCCCCATCCTTGTAGAGTTTTATTTGGTTATGTGAGTGTTGTTTAGTTCCTAGGATACTAGAGATTGTTTTCCATGTTGCCTTTTGCTTCATTGAATCTATTCACATAATATGAAAGTTTTGCCTTTCTTATGATACTGGTTGTTATAAATAATAGTGTGTGGGGCTTCTATGGGGAACTGGTACTATTAAGGGGTAAGGGTAGTTAGAAGACAAGAGTATCAAATATGGGAGAGCTAAAAGGCCCGGCCCCCAAAATAAACTATCCACAGTAGTAATAACTTGCTACTAGACCATATATGTTAGTCTAAGGGTTGATCAATGCGCTCCCACATAGGAAGAAGGGATACTCTGTAATTCATGTACTTATTTATTAACTCCTTAACAACCCCCCCATATACACTCACACCAATAACAATAATAATAATAACTTTACGACACTATCTTACGTTAAAAGCCTTGGTCCACTTAGGCAGGATACAAGGTTTACACTAATAACAAGCTAGGGTAAAGTACTACTGGATAAGCACTGAAGCTGGATGCAGCTTAGGGTAGGGAAACCACGTGGGACCCTAATACAAAACACAACACTTAGGGGTACCCAAAACACTGGCAAATACTACCCCCAGGTCTCACCAATATTTACTACCAGAGTAGGCACACTTAACACCATATAATACTTAACTTAAGGGTACAGGAACTTAGGGTAAGGGAAATAAGTAAGAGGAGAAGGGAGGAGATTAGGGGTGCAGCCACAGAGTAGGTCTCGTCCGCACGAACGCCAGCCAGAGAAGGACCTCCTAGCGACCGGCTAGGCCTCCCATGTCGTGGTGCCGGAAGGAGCCTAATTGATCGTGCAGCTAAGCACATTAAAGATCTTCCCCTATGCAACGTATTGTTACTTTACAAATGATTAGAAAGTATTAGCAAGCAAAGTTGGTGCCTATGTTATTATTTAATAATCAACCCCCAGCTCAGTCTTTAAATGCTCTTTGAGAAACAATAATAGTCTTATGTCTGGCAGGGAAGATACAAACAATTGCCGTTCGAGATGCACTCAACTGTACTACCAGAAAGTTTAATAGCTCAATTTTGACCTCTGGTTTCCACTGGATAACCCAGGGTCGTAACACTGGTAAACATTGATGAGTACCTTTTAGCTACTTCCTTTGAAACTAGGCCAATCCTAAGTTTCTTTTCATATTCATGTTTCTTGTTGATTGAGTTGAGAATGACACTTGTGAGCCATGGATTGTTTAATCTTTTGTCAGTTAATTGCTTGGTAAGAAGGGGACATTGAAGGTTGTAGAGGCTTAGAGTTTTGGAGAGGAAGAGGTTAGCTAATGAATCGATATCCTGGGTATTATTGAATTCAGAATCCCAGTTAATATTGTGAAGTGCATTTGTAAGATTGCCTAAAGCTGATTCACTGTGTAACCTGAATGAGAGTTTCTTGCTTTTTGGTGGTGTTATGTCCATGTTCGCTATGAGAAAGGTAGGATAGTGATCAGTTGTTCTGTCGTAGATTATACCAGATATAAGGGGACCTGTTATGTTTGTCCATATGTGATCCAAGGTAGTGGCTGATGTTGGAGTGACTCGGGTGGGTTTGGTGATTGTGGGGGATTAGCATACAGGAGTTCATGCTGTTAAGGAAATAGTCAACTTGAGAGCAATTTTGTTGACCCAGGTCAATATTGAAGTCTCCTCCCAGAATGATGTGGTTTTTGTTGAGATTGTTGTTTATAATAAGATTCCTTAGGTTATCTGAGAAAGAAGCTATGTTAGTATTGGGAAATCTATAGATGGCTTAGTCAAGGAGGATTTAAGGGATTTCATTGTAAACTGAGCAAAAGTAGTTATCTCTATCACTAATGACACTGTTGCAGATAAATGTATCTCGGTAATATATGGGTGTGCCACCACCTTTTTTATTAGGCCTACAGTTGTGAATGGCTTTATAACTAAGATTTATAACAACAGCTAAGTTGAAGAGTTGGGTATAGTCTTTATTTAGCCAAGTTTCTGTTAAAATAATGAATATATAATATAATAATATAATATAATAATATAATATAATATAATATAATATAATATAATATAATATAATATAATATAATATAATATAATATAATATAATATAATATAATATAATAATAATAATTAATATAATAGGAGTTACTCTCATTAGTATGGGTGGAGGGTGATGTTGTGGTCACAATAGGGGGGTTACTGTTGATCAATATCGATGAAGTATAATTACCTAAGTAAATACCTATTTGTAGTTACAGGTTGAGATCTATGCTCGAGGTGTCCCGTCTTCCCAATACTCTTTGTCGTATAACGCATTGAAACTACTGACCATTTTGGCCTCTACCATACCGATGGCCAAGTATCTGGCCATACTTGTTGATTCCATTTGGAATCACTTAGCTAGTTCCAACCGTCTACCACTCTGTTTGCAAAAAGAAAACTTTCTAACATTTTTTCAGCACATTTTTTCCTTAGCGTGAATCTATGTCCTCTTCTCCTTGAAGTTGCTGGTGTCAGGAATTCCTCCTTGTCAATTTGGTCGATTACTGTTAGTATTTTATAAGTGGTGATCATATCACCTCTTTTTCTTCTACCTTGTAGTTTTGGCATGTTCAACGCCTCTAGTCTCTCCTCGTAACTCATGTTTCTCAGTTCCGGAAGCCACTTTGTAGCATGCCATTGCACCGTTTCCAGTTTCCTTATGGGGTTCTTGAGATTTGGGCACCATACAACTGCTGCATATTCCATTCTCACAAAAGTCATGAACAGTTTCTTAAGTATTTCACCATTAAAAGCATGTCTGAAGTTGGAAAGAGACGCATATGCTCCTCTCACAATGTTCTTTATATGTTCCTCTGGCGACAGCTTACTATCCAAAACCACCCCTAGGTCTCGTTCTTTATTAGAGTTCTGTAATTCATTTCCAGATAATTTGTAAGTTGTGTGTGGTCTTTTTTCTCCGATTCCACATTCCATAACATGACATTTATTCACTTTGAATTCAATTTGCCACTTGACGCTCCATGCACTTATTTTATCTAGATCGATTTGAAGGGCATTACAATCGTCTGCGTCTCCTATCTTCCCAAGTATCTTAGCATAATCCGCAAACATTCCCATATAATTCTGCAGTCCTTCTGGTAGATCGTTTATATAGATGATGAACATTACTTATGCAAGAACTGAATCCTGTGGTACTCCGCTAGTAACACTCCTCCAGTCTGATATATTGTCTGTGATTACCGCTCTCATCTGTCTGTCAGCTAGACAAATTTTCATCCATGTCAGAAGTCTCCCTGTCACCCCTCCAGCATGTTCCAGTTTCCCGAACAGCCTCTTGTATTGGACTCTGTCAAGTGTGAGAGCGGTGCTGCAGATGGACAGGTCAGTTTAGTATGGGATGTTTCTTATTGTGGTAAAGCTTTCTTGAATGCTTCTCTCTGAATGCTAAGGATCAGAGATGAACTTACTGATGCCCTTCCTTGTAT